AAAATTCACTGTTGCTATGGTTACCATCCCCACACCACAGGTTGACATGGCAACGCTAGCAGAGCAAATCATCGAGGCAACCCCAGAGCGAATCAAACAGGAGGATTTCCCCAGGGGGGCGGAGTCACCGCTCCGAGAAAGGTGGGACAACCCGGCCATACAGGACACCTGGCTGGCTACATACCTGGAAACGGTCGACACCCACGCACACTCCCCTCCCAGGTAAGCCCCGCCCCAAAAGAGGCCAGAAAAGTGTAACCATTAGAACCAAACGTTGTCATGAGATGTGTGCACATGTGCTTGCAGGCGTGTGTGCCCCCCCTCACCACTCAGCGCTTTAGCCCTCCAGAGGCTCCGCCCTCCCTCTTCTGCAGCATGGGCAGAATTCCTCAACGCCTCAGCCAATGGAAAGATGGAGCGAGATTTCGCCCTGCTGACGCTGACAGACGGCGAGCAGAGGGAGCTTTACGAGGCCGCCAGAATCATCCAGAACGCCTTCAGGAGATACAAGGTGCACATGGCGTTATGGGAAGTGAGGGAGCGAGCAATATTAGGCATAAAGGTTTCCTTCTAGTGCGGGGCGAGCCGTAATCCGCCTCTAAGTTTAGTCTGTGTGTCCAAGAACAGTTCAGTCCCGTAATCTAGTCCGATCGTTCACTTCCTTCTCCCCCAGCTGAATTTGGTCATGCTAGTCTAATTCTCCAAAGGTTTGTTAACAAGGGCTGAACTGTTAACAAAGCATTTGCAGCCATTCAGCACCAAAAATGTCTTTCTGTATTCTCCACTGCTCTTTATAAAATTTGTGTCTGCTAACAAAGAAAGAAATGCCCTCAGTATCTCAAACATCCACCTCATATATGCAGGATGTCTGCAGTCAGACAAGCATACCAGAGGAAATACATCCTTAAACTTCAGAGGTCACTCTTTCATACCATCCATCTGCTGTCATCTAGGTTTGGTTTGGCAGTTTATTCCCAGGAATCTTAGTATTTTCTCTTTATTTTCAGGGTCGGAGGTTAAAGGAGCAGCAGGACATGGCTGCGGCCGTCATCCAGAGATGCTACCGGAAGTACAAACAGGTGTGTGTGTGCTGAGCTGTTTGAGTTTGTCTCGAGCTTCACTAACACTAAACTAACCTGCCATGTCTCTTTACCATCTCTCTCTCTCTCTTTCTCTGGCTAGCTAACATGGATAGCTCTGAAGGTAATGTGGCTGACAGTAGACGTAGTGATGTGTAGTCAGTACATCGCCCTGTGTGTGTGTTGGTGTGTGGCTCACTGTTTAACGACCGCAGTAATGTATCCGTACTACCTCGAGCTCA